GCGTCGTTGAGGTGATGCTGGGCGTGAGTTAGACAAAGACTCTCTACCTGATATAAAGTCGAGTGTGAATTTTGCCACGTCAGACATGAGGTCCTTGGGGATCTCCACCTCAGTCACATATAACATAGTTTGGATGAAATCAAGTAGAGAGCTCCCTGCCTCGATGGTGTCAAGTGTGAGGTATGTTGCATTGAGCATGGATGTTATGATGTATGTTATGGTGTGACAACACATTAGTTGAGACATTTACATATGATGTATGTTATGGTGTGTTCATATGTATTGTTGTATGTCTTGTGTGACATGGTTTGGATGAGATACATGTTTTGCATTGGAGTGTTTAGCTTCCATGTATGGTTATGGTATGATGTTGTATGATATAAAATTATTTATATGCTTACATGTTTTTGGACTCTAACTTACCTTTCTATTTCCATTGTGGTTTGAACTATGGGAGTAGATTAAGATTAGGCTGGAGGAGCAATTGCTGCTAGGAGGTTGGGGATGCTTTTCTGGTATAGTTGTACTCAATCGATACTAGGACATTAGATTATTTTGGGATTATTGGATATATGTATATGACTTGTCTATATTAGTATGTGTTTTACTTTTATATTCATGTTCTATATATATATTTATGACACATTTTTTTTACTTTAATCTTGTATATTCTAGTAGACTAGTTTTCGCTGCTAGTAGTAATTTTGTTTAGTGTAGTGACTAGAATGAGTCGTTACAATATTATTGTACAAAATCTATCTACTAATGTTTATATTAGTGAAAATATAACATTAAATCACGTTGATATTGTATAATTATCTCAATTTATTATTTTCAAATGAATTATTAATGATTTGAATGATTAAAATAAAATTTTTAAAAATTACATAAACTAAAAAAAATAATTTAAAATTTAAAAGATTAAAAATAAATTGATTCTAAATCTAATTCATTAAAAATATATTTAAATATTTAGTTATATATAAGTAAAAAAGAAACTAGTTATTATGAAATAGATAAAAGTATAACTAGTAAATTCGTAAGCATCCAAGTGGGGTACTGAAAATGATAAAAGAGCAGGCAGTAATTGGGCAATAATGATCTGGTTTGATGGTTGTAGCGGAGTTTCGTTTTCGTTGTGGTAGTGGCAGTGGCAGTGGCAGGCAGGAGGGAAATACTACCACTTCATTCTTGCAACAGTAATCAATGCATCAGCTGAAAGCAAAATCTAACAACACCACCATGGCCACCCAACCTCCATCAAGTTCCCAAAAATAATGGCCCCGCAAGTGCTTCCTACAGGATGTGTTCGCTGCATTAATATAAATATATTTCATTATTTTTTATTTTTAAATATATTTTTAATCTTTCAAATTTATAATAAATTTATTTTTATTCTCTTAAATTTAAAATTGATATTTTAGTCCTATAATTTTAAAAAATATAATTTTTATCTCGATACTCAAATTTTATTTGAGAATTGTTAAATATTATCGTATAAAATCTATTTACTGGTATTCTGTTAATAAAAATATTATATTAAATCTAACTAATACTAATAATTATCTCAATTTATCACTTTCAGATATATTATTAATGATTTGAGGAACTAAAACAATTTTTTTTAAATTACATAATAATAATAATCATTTTAAATTTAAGAGGTTAAAAACAAATTTATCTTAAATTAAAAATATTAAAAATATATTTAAACTAATTTTTTAACAAATAAATGAGATTTTTAAAAAAATATATTTTTATAACTATTTTCAAAATATAATATTAATTATTTTGTGACTATCTTTTTCAACACATCTTTTATTATATTTATTAATAATAGAAATTATTATATTAATTATAACTATACAACTATCATTACTTGAAACTAATCATTTATTAATAATAGAAATTATTATATTAATTACAACTATATATATACTTAAAAAAACTATTGTCTTCAAGCATACTAAATATTATATAAAATTATAGAAAATTAATTATTCTTATTATCTCAATTCATTATTTTTTTAAAATAGAGTTTGGAATAACATACACATAATCTTATGTTTTAATTTATTGTTGCTACTAAAACATAAAAGATTAATACATGTTAACCAAGGAGATCTCCTATAACAGAAGTGAATAGTTTAAGTTATTTATCCTTACCGAAATACAATGTTAGGACTTATCTTAATTAGGTCAGATATCCTACAGTGTTAGGTCTCAAAGAGAGCCAAGTATAAATAACTTATTTTGATTACTCAGGTTTTGTCACTTAAGCTAAGAAGTCTAATATTACTGTCAGGATAAGACAGTTTGAGTATAGACCTACTATGACATTAACATGTAACACTAAACCACACATATAGAATTAGTCCATCAATTATCTTTCAAGTACTACACCCTTCCAACACTTGGCCATGGACTAATTCTCTAACTTCGTACTTTACTCAGTTAGTCATTCAACTAGAACATGGTTCAACTACTTCCATATCAATCCACATAGACCCTAGAGGGAAGCAACTTTAAAAATCACATAATTCACCTCTAACATCTATGTATCTCATCTGAGACATGTATCTCAATCACATGTCTACAACTTCGCAACGTTAGCAGTTATACAGTATATAACTTAATATCATTAATTCATTTGTCAACTTACAACATAGATATTCATCATCATATATTGTCATACATATATCATGGTCATCAATATTTATTAATAAATTTTGTTATGTACCAATCATCCCTTAAATTAAATATGATTATTATTTTCAATAAATACTATTAAGGATAGTTTAAAAAGTAAAGTTCAATTTTTATATAAAAATATTAAAATTAAATGAACTTAACTGATTTTCTTAATATGTGTGAATTCATGTATTTTTGCTAAATATGAGTCTACAAAAAGTATTTACTTTGATCCTTTTTTAAAAGATACAATTATTTAATTCACCAATATTAAGGAAGTTAGTTAATTTGGTTAATAATATTAATTTTGTCCTATATATATAGAGAGAGAAAGAGAAAGAGAGAGGGAAGAGATCAAATTATTTTGAGAGTTACTTTTGAAAAAATTATTTTATTTAATAATTCATGAGATATGTTGAATTTTAATAAAGTAACCGTTGAATTCAATTTTTTTATTGTATAAATAAAGTCTACAAAATTTAAATTTTTTTTAAAATTATCTAATTTTTATTTCATTAATTCAAATTAACGAATTATTATAAAAATATTTTATACATTAATTAAAATCTATATAAAGAAATATCATATAGTCTTAATTTTTTTAAATTTGTAAATTTAATTTATATATTAATTTTTTTTAATTTAACAATTAAATTGTTGAAATTCAATATATATATATATATATGATATTATTAGGAAATACACACATATAAATCGCCTCAAACATTAATAAGACTATTGCTTAACTAAGTAAATTTATAAAACATATATTTTAATCGATTAAAAAATATGAGTATTATTAAAAAATGGAAGTAGTATAAAAGTATAAACATATTTAAAATATATATATATATATATATATAAATAAAATAAATTTATCGTTATAAATTAACTATACCATTTTTTAATACTAATTAATTAAATATTTAAATCTTATATACAGCAAAAAGAAAGTAGTAAATAAATTAATGGAAACCGATGTTGATCGAAGGTGATAACATTTACTGAGGACACCAAAAATTGGAAGTTAGGTTTGTTTTTATTTCACAACCGAGACAAGCAAAACAAAGGTTTCTCATGAGTTGCTAGCTTTTTCTTGGGTAGGTGAGGTTGACACATTTTGCCTTGATTGACGCATCATGGGTACCAATAGCGCGACAAATTTATGAAAACCAGAAATCATAGTCAACAGTAATACATTACTTTACACTTTTTTTTTTACACCACTTACGCTGTAAAAAAAAACACTATACTATCATTTATTACATCAATCACTAATAACGAAGAAAAATAGACAAAAAAAATATCTGTATAAATTATTTTACATATATTATAATATTATTCGGTATGAAATTGATATTCACTTTAATTTTTATTTATTCTATTTCTCTTTTCTTTTTATCGCATACACCGAGTCACTGATACACCACATATTATACAGTGTCAGAACAAATTAAATTATTTTAGGATTCAGGATATAAATTTACCTGTTTATAATTTCTTAAGGTTATATTTTAGTATATTTCACTTTTCATTCATTTACTTTTTCAATTATACAACTTTTGTTTTTCTATTTTTATTTAATGAAAATATTTAATTAAAATTTATATTTAATGAAAATATTTATATCTCTTGTTTTTCAATTATACAACTTTTGATCTCAAATTTTAATTCACCATTCAACATTTAATGAAAATATTGGCAGAACAATCCAACAAATATCACGCTGTCAATATAAATGCGTTGAGAAAAATTGAGAAAGACATTCACAAAATTAAAAGATTTCTGTTCCTGGACAAAAAATTGTGACTAAAAATGTAACTTCATTCTTAAATAGGCTGATTCGATGAGAATTATATTTCTTATTTATACCAACTTTTTTTAAAAAGAAAATAAACAGAAATAGAATTGAGTCTTTAAATAAAAATAGTTAATAAATATATATATTTTTGATAATTATGATACACGTACAATATTTTTATCTTTTTTAATGAGTAAGCATATGAGTTTTTGTTTCCTCTTCTACGTTCTAGCATAGTTTATAAATATAATACAGGTTAAATTAATAAAAAAGTAAAGTGTGACTTTACACGTATTGTTATTTAATTAAAGAGCGTAATTCGTTTTCATGAATGGTGTATGAAATTATGATTCATGAAGAGTGGGCCATGGGCCATCACATGAAGGCATATCTGTCATCCGCATGATCCACCAGTGCATGTTCAAGTACCGCGCTTCCATCGTTGGCGTGTCAACCTGGCGGCACAAATCCCGAAGCACCCCCCAAGGTATATAATGCCAAGACCAAGAGCGAATAAAATAATAATAAAATATTTAGGAAAAAAGAGAGAGAAATTAAACAAGGCAATTCACGGAAGGAAGGGTCGAACATGGACGGAGCAGAGCTGCATCCATTCCATTCCCTTCCACTCTCTCTCTAAAAAGCGCAAAAGCGAATAACTGAAAGAAACCCTAGGCCCTGTCTCTCTCTCTCTCTGTGAGAGAGTTTCTTAATTCTTATTATTACTTTCGTTCCACGCATCGAATTCGATTCTCTGCGATCTGAATCCGTGAAATGCGCCTCTCTCGGAATCGCAGAGCGACCAACGGTTCCTTCGTGCACCGATGAATCAATCGCGTCGCTGGCAGAGGACTCTGATCCTCGCTCTGCTCTCTCTCTCCGTCGTTGCTCCTCTCGTTTTCGTCTCTCACAGGCTTAAGGCTTTCACTTCCGAAGGTAAACTCTCAATTCCATCGCACACGCAAAAGGCTAACCTCGTTCCTCGTCTTCCGTTTCCGTTTTAGTTGACTTTTCGCGTTTCTCTTGCAGGACGACAGGACTTTCTTGATGATTTATCCAGTGTTGTAAGAATCTTGCTTCTCAAGCCTGATCAGTTTATTTTTATTTTATTTGTTTGTTTGAATTGCTTCTGTAGCTTAACGTGTTTGTTGCTGAGAAAGAATATATCAGTTAGGTGGAATATAGTGAAATATTTCTCTCTCTTTTTGTGCTCTCCATAAATTTTGATTTATCGATGAGTTGAAAAGTTAGCGGACCAGACCGTTAGTTTACCGGAACTTATGGTGCTTTCAATAATTTTATTCAAGGATAAACTGATATTTCATATTTATTTATTTTAACTGGAAAAGTTTGTTTGTTTGTTTTTCTTCATTTTTGATGCTTCCTTGGCTACCAATCGAAGTTCTACAGTGCTCTGCCGTGGAACTGGGATTGATTGTTATTTTGTCATTTGTATCTTGCAGACATACAGGACAGATCCTCTAAGGCTAAATGCTATTGAACAGGTAGTGGAAGATTATATTAGAATTTTCACCCTCATGTTTAAATTTATTCTTCTTCCCCCTGGTGGAATTGGAGAATTAACTTTTTCTTGGTATTTTGGACCCTTTTTGTGCAAATTTAGGAAGGCGCTGAAGAGTTAGAAGAGCCACAGCAAGTTGTTTATAAAGAAAAAGATCTTGGTTCAACAAATAGTTACATTTCACAACAGGTTAATGATTTGGTGGAATCTAGAAATGACGGGTACAGAAATAACATTTTGGAAAGAAATGGTTGGTATCTTTACGTGTAGTTTTCAATTTTTGTGGTTTACATAATGCCCCTCAAGTCTGAAAATTTTGCTATTATCAAGTTTCAGAATCCGACCATAACAAAAGACAAGACCAGGAACCTCAGAAGAAATTGTTCATGGATGGGGATGAGGTTTGTGTTAATTCTATTGGATTACTGTCATTCAAAACTGAAGGCCATTGCTTCATTTTTTTTTTTTTGGTTGTAAAAGGGATATTTTTTTGGGAAGAAAGTTGTCATCTGGATATTCATCTGTTAGAAGTTGCAATGCTCTCAAATTTCATAAAATACCAATATTCTTTTAATATTCTACTTTGCTGTCCAGATAACTTAATTTCTCAAAGGTTTCATCTTCCCAATTCAAATATATCACTAAACTTATGATGAAAGCAAGATTTGTTTTTTATGTTAAAAAATTGACACTAATGCATTCGCATGACAGTTAAATGAACCAAATTAGTGTAAAATGAAAAAACTTATCTGATATATCAGCTACGTGCTTGAGGTTTTATTTTATGAATGCAAACTCTCTTATCTAATGCAAGTAAATGATGTTCAGGATGAGAAAGTGGATTTTTGCTCAAAAAGCATAGCCTCAGTTTTGGTTTCAATCTGAGATTGTAGTTGGATAATTACCTTTGAATGCTTCCAATTTTCTCTAACACTATGAAATATCAATTCATCCCTAGAGATTGACTCATCCATTCTTAGTGCCTAGCTAGGTGGGGACGTTTGAATGACATTGACAAATTAATTACTAATGTGGTTTTGCCATACCTACCTTGAAATTTATGATTTATGATTTATCTAAAGAATTGGGGTTCTTCTAGCTAGTTTTCTAAGGGTATCAATTTTTATAATTGAAGCCCAACTCAATTTTGTTATGGATGATGTCAAGATCTTGTTGGGTTCTTTTGGGTTCAATATCCATGTCCAGATGTGTTTGTGGCAATTTAAAATGGATCAAGAAATTAATTATAAGTTAGATGTGTTTGTTACAGAGGTTATTTACCTATTCCATACTGAACACAAGAATGGGGTTTTCTTCTTTACTATGTTTTGTTGCATCTCCATTTATGGTGGCAAACTTTTATATTTATTTCTTATATACCTATATATATTTGATTAATGTATAAATGCAAACTGGACTGTGGAGAATTTTTTTCTTACAATGTTATATTAATTTTTGAATCTGGTTTTATCGCAGAAAATATTTAATAAAACAGTTGCACACAATCAGAATATACACACTCAGTCTCAAAGAATGAAAGATGAAGTTGAAGTGACAGATAAGCAATCTGGTCCAAAAGCAACCCAATATCATCAGAGTTCACGCCCTCAGTCTCGGAGAGGAGGGACGAATCAGAAGGTTTTGGAAATTAAGGATCAAATTATTAGAGCGAAAGCATATCTGGGCTTTGCCCCTCCAAGCAGCAACTCACACTTGGTGAAGGAGTTGAAGTTGAGAATTAAAGAGATGGAACGTGCAGTTGGAGAAGCTACTAAAGATTCAGATCTGTCAAGGAGGTAAAACTTTCTCTGTAACTCAACAACTTGAATTTAGTTAGACGGTTATTTATTATGAACTCTACAATGTACTAGTTTGAAGGGAAAACTATTGCTTTGGTCCTTGAAAGACACCATTTTTTTCTTCCGACAACTATTTTTCTCAATTGATTCCCTTTATGTTTTAATTTGCTTACATTTGGTCCTTACAAGGTTTTGGAAGAGAAAATTATAAGTGGAATGATAACATTAAGAAACACGTTTTTCCGACACCAAAACATAATTTTTTTTGTTACAAGCTCAAATTCAATCTGTGAAAATCTGGCAACTACTTGTCTTCCAGTATAAAAATATTAATGAAGGAGAACATTCACGTGTATCATTTTGATGTGATATGAATTGTTAAAAGAAAATGGATATTTTTCAATCTGAAAACAAGTGAAGTTCACAGTGCTTTGCAGAAAATGCGACACATGGAGGCTTCACTGTCTAAAGCCAATCGTGCTTTCCCAGACTGTACTTCTATGGCTTCTAAGTTCCGTGCAATGAATCATAATGCTGAAGAGCAAGTTCGTTCTCACCGACAACAAGCAACATATCTTGTTCATCTTGCTGCAAGGACCACCCCAAAAGGTCTTCACTGTCTTTCTATGCAGTTAACTGCTGACTACTTTGCCCTGAGACCTGAGGACCGGAAGCTTCCACATGAAAATAAGATTCATGATCCAAAACTTCATCATTATGCTGTCTTCTCTGACAATGTTCTGGCATGTGCAGTGGTTGTTAACTCCACTGTCTTCAATGCTAAGGTAAAGGTGTTTTCTTTTTTAAATGGATTAACTTTTTATTTTTCACCTTTAAGTCAGGTGTTCTTTGCTTTTTGCTTTTGGCTAATGTTGAACCCTGAAACAACTGCTGAATTAAAAAAAAAAAAACTGATACTAGCAAAATCAATATTATAAAGTTTAGCCATCAATTATTTTCAAGTTATTTCCTTTATGGATACTATGAACAGTTGACGCCCCTCGAGTCTCCTCGTTACCATCCAAAACTGCTTCTCTACACTAAATTGCAGTACATACATACGACACAATATGACAATAATTGTTTTACAATTAAGGATTTTCTTTAATATACTCTTTACCATTGGAGCGGGTGACTATAGGACAAGTAGTAAGATTGCTTGATTCGCTCACCAATTTGGTCTCATTTTTATCCTTCCTTGAACCTTACTTATACTCGGCATTTCATTTTTGAAGTATGGCTGATTACATCGAAAGAGTTATCTTAGTTGCAGCTCTGGGCGCTGCAGACCTTTCTGAAGAATTAAGAAGTCAAACCAGTAAAAACACAGGAGGATAAATGATCTTTCATTATGGAATAACACTAAATTTAACCTCACTTTCTGAATCAGCTCTTTAAAAACTTAATTTATATATTTTGTTACAAAAGATATTTCTAATAACCTCACATCCATCATTAACTAATGAAGAAACTTTGATTTTCTAGTGGATAGAGTTCTTTCAACTTTTATTAGCTTCTCAGCACTTTATAGAAGTGTCTAACTTGTAACTAATACACGAGATGCGGTGAGACGAAAGATATATAAGATCCCCTAATAAGTAACTCTTTACAATGAGAATGCTGTCTTGTGTACATCAAACCCTGTCACTTTATGTCGAGTTGATGAGATATGGTTTGATTGTAATGTTGTAAAAAAACAAATTTTTTATTTTTTTTATTTTTTTATTTTTTTATTTTGATTTCATGGTTGGGAGAATGTTCTCATTATGGAATAGGAAACTAATGATTAAGTCTATGTCTATCTATAGTGACAAGAAAGCGTGACGATGACTTTTAAATTGCAGAAACAGGAGAAACTTGTTTTCCATGTAGTGACCAATTCACTCAACCTTCCTGCAATCCGGATGTGGTTCTTATTAAACCCTCCTGGCAAAGCCACAGTCCACGTACAAAGCATAGAGAACTTTGAATGGTTGCCCAAGTACAACACATTCAAGGAACACAATTCCAGTGATCCAAGATATACGTCTGAGTTGAACTACCTACGTTTCTACCTGCCAGATATCTTCCCTACTTTAAATAAGATTCTGCTCTTTGATCATGATGTGGTAGTGCAAAAAGATCTCAGTGGACTATGGAATGCCAATATGAAAGGAAAAGTAATTGCAGCAGTTGGCACTTGTCAGGAAGGTGAAACTTCATTTCACAGGATGGATATGTTCATAAACTTCTCAGACCCATTCATTGCAAAGAGGTTTGATGTCAATGCTTGCACGTGGGCATTTGGGATGAACTTCTTTGATTTACAACAGTGGAGGAGACATAATTTAACTGATCTCTACCACAGATACTTGCAAATGGTATGTTTGAAGAAATGTGTTTATTTTGTTGTACACTTCTGTTTTCTCTGTTAAGAGAGACTACTTTTTATTTCTCCCCCCCTCCCACTGAAAATTTTCCTACGTCTAAATTTCTTTAAATCTTCAGTTTGGCTTCTGGCATTAATAAAGTAATGTAGAGTTAAATCGCCATCATTAGCATAAGCTCCCTTGAAATTGGATTGTGTCAATCGTAGTACACCGTTTTCTTTTGCATTATTAGAATGCTTCATGTAGTAGTTTTATAACTTAATATGGATTTTTCATCTGCGTGTTGGACTAGGATTAGGAGGTCAAAGATTTGTAATCTCCATGACTTTTAGATTTATTATTGAAAGCAACATTTTCATGTCGATAATTTTGGTGGGCGCTTTAGTGAGGGAATGCGTCTAAGTTCTTGTTTAATTTGCAGTTAGATGGAACACATTTATTTTCTATTAAATTCTTATGGAACGATAATTTGATGTGTTTCTCTATGTGACTAATTGCAGGGTTCCAAGAGGCCATTGTGGAACATTGGAAGTCTGCCTTTAGGCTGGCTCACTTTCTATAACAAGACTATGGTTTTGGACAGACGGTGGCACATTCTTGGCCTTGGTTATGACTCAGGTGTCGATAGAAACGAGATTGAACGGGCTGCCGTTATACACTACGATGGAATTAGGAAACCATGGTTGGACATTGCGATGGGAAGATATAGAAATTATTGGACCAAATTTATGAAGTTTGACCTCCCTATTTTGCAACGTTGCAATCTCCAGGCGTAGCCCAAAATTTAAATATTACTCTACCTGCTTTGACTCTCATTTGCTGGCACATTAATTGCCTGCTTCAGTCGATTCTTTCTTGTTCTTGGCGATTCTTCTTGTAAAGCCCCTCATAGTTCCATAGAATTTTCTACATATATATATTTTTAGAAGCTTAGCCAATTTGTAGTGACATTGAGATGAAATAAGACTCGCATAGGCATTGTTTTAGCTGCTTGGAGATATTGGTTGTTGTGTACATAATTAATTCCCGTGCTCTATTAGTCGTGCATCCGCTGTTTCCCATCAATATACGCCAATTATACGCAGATTGGAAGTTAAAAGTTAAATTTTACTTTGAGAAACTAATTTGTACACAATTGTGGAAATGACGGTTGCCATTTGTGAGTCGTAACGTTAATTATACCGTATGTGATCATTTTTCCTGTTACATGAAGCTAGAAGCTAGTGGGATTCAAGTATTATTCGGGTAATGTTCGATTCTTCAGATTTATGTGTCTTGAATGTAATATGATCTCTTTATTAACCGTGAAGAAAGTGATATGGGGGCCTAAATGATAATAGTGTTTACTACGTCGTTGTTACTTGTTAATGGTTGGAGAAGGGGTAAGGCAAACGAAGATTCGATTTAGGGAAATATCGGATACCGATTGGATTATTTGCCACGTGTAGAAAAACTATTGGGGTTGTGCAGATATGGATATCCAACGACTGGTTTTGAACCTATCCATGGTGTGTGGTGTTTGGGCCAGCACGGCAACATCAATAATAATAATAATTTTGAAATCTTTGCGCATGCGTATGAAATAAACTGCAACCGTGACAGAAATTGCGTAGCCACACTCTTATTCGGTAGTGAAGAAAAATGGCAACCATCATCGCCGGCACCGCAACAACATCGATCACTCGCGCAGGTCTTGTGCTCAAGCGACCTGCTGGGATCTCATCCTCTACGGTTCTTGGTAAGTCTTTTCCTCGAGGAGGATGCTGATATAATTAAGTTTTTTGTTAACGAAGATGATAATATGATTTCTTTCTACGATAAAAATGTAATCTCTTTCCATTTCTGATTGATTTCCTAGTGTTCATATCGTTGCGAAACATATTAAGATGACTAAAATTAAGGGAAAAAGAATTAGCAATTTCAGAGCTCTCGAAAAACTTGAAGACTCTTGAGTCTTCATTATCTAAAATGACAATAATTCTAAGAAACTTTCAATGAATTAGAGGCCTTATGTCTGTAGTAACGGATACACATAACATTTAAACTGATATGTAGTCGAGTATCAAGGAGGTATAACTCAGTTGATTGAGTAGGGTGAGTCCGATGTTGTAAATCATTTTGGTATTCAATTCCTATGAATAAAAAAATTGATGGCTGGGTTTTAGATGATAACATATAATGGATCAAGCATTTCCTTATGAAGTGACACCATTCATTGACTGCAAACATAATTTAATAGGGTTGCCAGCAATGGGTAAGGCAGGGAGAGTGAGGTGTTCCATGGAGGGAAAGCCTTCTGCTGAAAGCAACTCAAATATTGGAATGGGGGCATCCTTGATAGCAGCTGCATGCGCCGCCACAATGTCAAGCCCAGCCATGGCTCTGGTGGACGAGAGATTGAGTACTGAAGGAACTGGGCTTCCCTTTGGGCTGAGCAACAACCTTCTTGGTTGGATCCTATTCGGTGTCTTTGGTCTCATATGGGCTCTCTATTTTGTCTATGCTTCCTCTCTTGAAGAGGATGAAGAGTCTGGATTGTCCCTCTAAACCCCAAGTTGATCATGCATTATTGTAGAAATTGCAGAGAGTTATGTCCTCTTCTGTTGTATTAAAAAACTACTTGTGTATGTATTCAAGTTCAAACTTCATAAGTTATTTATTTCTTCGTATCCGGAGCTTTCACGCTGCGTGTTTTATATGCCTTTCTTTTTTCGGTTGCTTCTTTATTAATATTGCTACTCCTTCTAGGCCTGGGAGTGGAAAGTGGATGAGTAAAGGGATCATATTTGGGTGCTTACATGAATGAGATAACTGGAAGCAAAATCAATATAGGGTGAAAATACATATAACAGAAAGAGAAAGAAAAATGATCCTTGATACTCGTTGATGTAGATACCCACAGAGAATAACGAAATTATGATCAGTAATGTGATGTAATAATAACGAAATTATATCTCTTAATTATTAAAAAAAATTATATTGAGTTTCGTTGCTAACTTGTTTTTAAAATAAAAACATCCAAAAATAAATCACACACCTGATTTTGTGCATCGCCTGACGCGATCCAAATTGCCTAGCCAAGCACTACTAAATTATGAGCAGTTTTTGTAACATTAGTAAATATTTATACACACGAGCGATCAAAAAGCATAAATTAAAAGTCCGCAAGAACATTTGTGTTCATCTTAACTTCTTAATTGGTTTTAATGATAAAGTTGATGGTCGTAGAAAGCTACAGTATCAATAGAAGTGTATTGAATAATTAGAAAAAGCGAGTCTGATCAGTGATGAAGATCTTGAGTGGGATCGTGAGGTTTTGGACGGTCTGCAAGAACCCAGCGTCCATCTTGAGTCTTGACCATACCCTTGTTCAAGTCTTGCCTCCAACGTGGTGGCACCGTATGCTCATCTTTCAAAAAGTCACAGTCCTTGTTCACCAAAGCAAGGTCTCTCTCACTCGTTCGCTTAAATGCACCATGCTTCCCATGGTATCTGCATAATCAACCTTATGTTAATTTAATCAACTTTCTAATTCCGTCTACTATATATTATCATATTATCCTGATCAACTATTAAGATTGTAATCCTTAATCCTTTGCTTCGCTCGCAAAAATTATGAGCAAACATCTCTATCACAATCCGTGATCTGTGATCATGTGAAGTGTGAAGTGTGAAGTGTGAAGGAGGTCTCAGGTCTGCCATTGCCACCCACTATAATGCCAAAAGATACTTTTGTTTCCAAAGCAATGTTACATACATACATTTCCATCATATATATGACTTTTATTTTATTTTAGTATATATTTTAAAAAAATCCAAAATATTAAGTTAAATAATATTAAATTCACATATTTAATACAAATATATTAAAATTATTTTCAAAAGGTTAATATTTCCAAAAATGTTTTTTTAAAATACACTTCTTAATAAAACATTTTCACATAATAAAGAACGGAAATTTGAAATTTCCATAAAGACAGAAATGTTTTTAATCTTACATACAACAATATTATTTCGAAAATTTTGTATGAATGTAGCAAATATTATTTATAATTTTTCAAAAAAAATATTTTTTTTTGGAAAACGTGATTCTCGAGAACCATCACACCCCTCATTTAAATTTCTCATCTCTTCTGAAGTAGTGAAGGGGCATGGGCATGCTGGTCCCCTCAATAATTCTAATATTTACATCACCTACTTAAAAGAAATTGATGATACAGCAATCACATTTTAACATGAATATTTTGAACAATGATATTTAGACGCTCAATAATCTATTTAACACCTACAAAATAAAAGGATAAAAAAAAATATAAATATAATAGATGATATAATTGGAGAAGAAAAGTGAGTAAGAAAGAATTAATTAATAGGTATTGATGGCATGTTTTTAATTCAAAAGTGTCCAAAAATTAGTGTTCTAATGTTTTTATATGCTATATAACTCTTTCATTTACTTTGTAACTATTTCTTTTTTGTTAGCATTACTTATTGGAAACTTTTTTTTGGACATTCTTGAGGTGTAGATACCTTAAGAGAAAGAGAAAGAGATAGGTAATTGATATATTATTTGATAATGTAATATGAAAAAAAAACAGATAAAAGAGAAACAAAATGTAAATTCAAAAAAAAATTAAAAAATAAATGTGTCACTTAGCTGTTTTGTAAATTATGTTTATTTATAATATTTGTAAGGCCTATAATTAAGTCCACACCAACATGGGGGTGCATTGCATGAATAGAGGAGAGAGAGACAAATAGAAAAGCGGAAACATTGAGGACAGAAAGGTGATGGACATAATAAATAATATAATTAAAAAATGAAGAGATTGCAAAGAGAAAATCATGATGAAAATGAGATAGAAGAGAAAGCGAATAAATTATTATAATTTTTATTCGAAACTTTCTCGTTCCTTCTTATATGCATAAAAGTTTGATAAACTTTGTAAACCTGAACCTCCAATCAAGAAACAACAATTATGAGGCAAGATCATGTCAACCGACTTGTTAGCTAATTTTAACGTTACATGTAATTAAATGGTAAAATTAATTAAAAATATACAATTACAATTAACATATATTTTACGGTATATTCTAACAAACACAATATTATTATCATATTTTTTAAAAAATAAATCTTAAAATAAAATAAATATCGTGTTAACTTTTCAATAATATAACATTAATAACTTCTTTTTTATTTATATTCCACATAATATTATTTAAAAATAATTATTATATTATATCATTTCTAATAAAAATAATTAATCATAAAGTTAATTTTATAAAATTATTATTTGTTATTTATTTATAAATTTTTTAATTTGTATAAAATAACTTAAAATGATACTTACCATACAATAAAGATAGTATTGCATCATACAAAATGTTATTTATTAAGTGAAGGAATTATATTATTAAAACATAATTATTTTAAAATATTAAATACGTCACATTATATCAATTTGAAAATATTAAATATGTTCTTAAAATATATATTGGATATAATATTTTTAAATCTAAACTTGTTAAAAGGTAACACATTATTATTTTAAAAATATTAAATGCATCACATTAGATTTAGTTGAAACTAACTCAAAAGATAACTTTTTTTTTTTAGGGGAAATCAAAAGATAACTTAAACATGTTAAATATAAAGTTGTTAAAAAGTCTTTTGTGACATGTTAGTTAGATATGAGAAATTATTAAGTAGGGTTTTTAAGTAATTTTCAATGTAGTTATTATTAATTTTTTTATAAATTAAAAAACTTAAATACATAATAATTACTTAAAATCGTGAATATATGATTATCTTGAACTATCTAATAATTTATAAACAAGACAGACTAAGTCACGAGCGATAAGCTATTCAAGTTGATATATATTATGAATTTTAATTATTTTTTTGTGTCCCGAGTGTCTAAAGATAGTTTTGTTGGAAAAGAATGATTGTATGATAAAGCGATGTGTATGTGTTGGTGTGAAATATAATAAGTTTTATAGGACATGCAGATAGGAGAGGAAGAAAGATGCATGTGAAGAGTAAGTGACCCGTCAAGCAAGTGCAAGATTGCCTCCAAGTTATGAGCGGAAGCAGCATCAGCATTAGGATTCAAAAACGGGGATTTCTTATGATCCAACTCTAACCCCACCCCAACATGCAGATAACACCAGGGCAACCCCTGCACGAGATTCACCACCCACCTTGGCAAACCCTCGTTCAAAAACATCCCCGGCGACCGCGGCACCATGTCATGACTGTTATGCACCCTCAGCACCTTCACCCCCAACTCCTCCAACCTCTCCTTAAACCTCAAGTTCCCCACCCTGGGCCCCGAAAACGAAAACACCGTCGACGTCCCCGCCTTCAACCCCCTTTCCGCAATATCAAAGGCGCTCAATATACCCATCGCACTCCCAAGGCTATGCCCCGTTATCGTAACACTAACCTCCTCCTGCGAATACTTGTCCAACAAACGCTTCACCTCGGCCAGAACCTGTTCCCTCGCTGAGTATTTGCAGTAGCCGCAGGTTGTCTCCTTGTCGGTGTACAACTCCAAGAAACCCGCCTCCACTTTCACGTCTCCCTCGCCCGAGATGGGCTTCAGGTAGTTCATGAGATCCGCCACCCACTCCACGTGGGTCACGGTGCCTCGCCACGCGATTGTTATGTCTCTTCGGCCCAATAGCTTTGTCATGGCGTCGTTGGAGACAGCGATGTAGCCGGCCCAGTTGGCGTGCTTGCTCCACATCTTGCTGGGCCAGCGCGACTTGCGGAACAAGTTTGGGAGGTTGATGTTGGCCGTCGCGTAGAGGAAGCGCGTGGGGGTGTATCCCACGTGGCTCATGTCCAGGGAGTCGAAGAATTCGGAGGGGGAGTACCTGCAGCTGCCGCAGTACTTTGAGTATGGGTCGAAGTCGAATGCGTCGTAGCAGGCCTGGGCCATCTCGCCGTACCGGATCAGCTCCGACCGCATTAGAGGGTCCATTGGGTCGAGAAGGCCGGCCCAGTCGTCCTCGCCGTGTATCTTGCGCCACACATCTGATATGGACTTTTGTTGGGTGGCCTTGCATGAAACAGTGGGTTTGGGCTTCCTTAGGGGTTGGTGGGTTTTCGGCTTTGGCAAGGCCACCACTATGTTTGGGATGAATGCAGCCATGACCATGATGTTGGGGTCTATGCTGTATGCTGTGCTTGCCAAGGGGATTATTCCTTCGGTGGGAGAAATAACTCTTTAAATAACAATTTTTTAAACTCTGGATTTTCTTTTACTTTTTAACTTTCAAATAAACCTTGCACTGAATTAATCCCCTAATTGGCGTATAATTTTTTTGTGAATATATACAAGTCCAACGCCGCCGTGTGAACATCAAACTCTGCAATCCGCATAGATACATGACGTCATAATGTTGTATGCTACGTAAATATTTTAATATTTTTCATTTAAAATAATGTAAAAGTAATAATCCTTATTATGAAAGTGTTATAATACGTAACACGAAGGAGTTGATCAAGTGAAAATTTAGTTAAGAAAAAAAACATGTATTGTAATATATATATGTTGGTTGGATGGAGTGAAGTGTTTTATAAGACGATATATTGAAGCAGTCCGGTGTATGTGTATTGTATTTGAGTAATAGTAACCTTAATGAGTTGGTTCGACGTTTAAAAGAAGATGCACTTGGTTGGATGTTATAGAGTTCATGGTCTGATAATGAAATTTCGCACTTCCTTTGGTATCATGAAAGTAACACCATAAGTTAAACAAAGGAATACGTTTTCAAGGGTCTGATAATGAAATTTCGCACTTCCTTTGGTATCATGAAAGTAACACCATAAGTTAAACAAAGGAATACGTTTTCAAGTTCCAGGGGAATTGTTTACGGTGTTCGTGGACCCTTTATATTCAAATTAGCACGTAAATGATTTTAATTTAGGTATTTAATTTAAGAACAGAAAACGAAGTAGGAAGATTTAGTAATTACTTATTTCTAAAGATTCTTTAATAAATAACAAGCAATAATTTCCAAACATATAAATGCTAAGATGAATAGAATGGATAATTGAGATATTTGCAATACAAATCATGATTCAAATTGCATAATGTTCCAGAATTACAATGCCAAAATAATATAACTATGTGGATTAAAAGAGATAAAATAAGAAAATTACGCTAATTCTACTCCTAAAAAGCAAGAGAAAAGTGGCCGAGAATTAGTCATACCCAAAAACGATTCTGTGCACGAAAGCTATATGTGCAGGCGGAGAGTGCTTGAGAATTTAGTTCTAATAGTATGAGTTTTTCCGACCTTCGTAAAGATGCAAAACTTTTGAATTTATAGAGCCGATCAACCACGGTTAACTTCGTGCACGTAGGTCATTATGGGATAACCGCTATCCACTGTGCTTATTACGTGGTTCTGAATTGTAACTTCTCATAACCGCTCCTAACCGTTCTTCCACGTATATTGACTTCTCGACCTGGACTTGATAACTACCTTAGTATGACTACAAGCACCCTAGCCAACTTCCCTACTTTTCGAGCATATTATTGTTCAAGCTCGAAATAATTTTCTTCAATCTCAAGTATCTGTTTATTGGCAGGTGTTGATTTCATAATTTTTTCGAGAAATCTTATGTACCATTTCGACCCACGCGGTTTTCGAGTAGGCCTAACAGGAATCCAATCATAGGATCAGCATAGCAGTAAAGTAATCAAGCTCCAGTTATAGTTCCATCAATAAATTAAAAAAAAGAGTAAATTATTTCTTTTGTTTTAATAAGATTCAATTACTTAATTTTTTTGGTTAGGAAAATTGATTAATTTAATTGAAAATATTATATATTATATATTATTTTTATAAAATTAACTTAATATTACCAGAGCAAAACTTTCCATTGAAACATGCTTAGTTGATAATTTTTAAAAAAAATTAAGAACCAATTCTTATATAAGCAACATATTATTTAAAGTATAATAAGAGCTTTAACAAGTTGCTTATAAGAATACTACATTCGAGATGCATACACCACAAACAACCCATATAAATAACTACTTTTAGTCTTTGAATTTCTTTTTTGTTAATAAATTTTTTTGTGTCAAATTTTTTAGTTTATTGGAAAAGTTTCAAAAAATAAAATAAAATAAAATAGGTTTAATTAAGAGCTAAAATAAAGAAAAATTAAGAGAGAAGAAAAATAAAATAGTGGGTGACTCAATAGTTATTTTTATTTATATATTTATAAATTTTCATTTATTCTCTAATTTTTTTAAATCAAATACTTTTTTATTTTATTCCTTATATATTTCTATTCATCTTTTTTATTTTCATCCATTCCAATTTTTACCCGATTTTAGCTTTATTTCTCATGTGTAATTGGAGTTCTTCCTCTTTCCATTTTACCACTTTTTCTTTTAACCAAAAGAGAATATAATTTCTCTTAGAGTTGTTTCGATGAAAGAATTTAATGAAATAATTTAAATTTTTTTAAAAATTTTAAATATTATAGAGTGAAATATTTTTTTTAAATAAAAAATTATAAAAATATTGAAATTCAAATATGAAATTCTTTAAAATTATAGAATTTTAAATTCTTTCCAAAACATTAATAATTTAAAATTATTTTTTTCTTCTTTTTTACTACTATCTTCCTCTTCTTTCTTTCAACATTAATATAAAAAAAATATCGTCATTTTTTTAATTATTAAATATTTAGAATTACCTTTTTAAATTATTAAATATTATTAAATATTAATTTTAAAAATTATTAAATATTTAAAAATTAACTAATCCTTAGTTTTATAAAATTTAATTCGAAAATCTCATTATATATATGTTTTAAAATTATTTTTACTCATAGTAAAATCAAATTCTTCTATTTTAGAATTTAAAATTTTAAAATTTAAATTAATTTATCCAAATAAAATATTTATAAATAATAAAAATTAAAATCAGATTAATTAAAATTTTAAGAATTTCAAACTTATTAAAGTTAAAAAAAAATTATCCAAACATAGTATTATTGAAATGAGAAAATTGGATAAGGAGACATTATTTATGACTTATGATGCCACGAGTTGAGTTTGGAAACTTCATAATAATAATATTATAAAAATGGTACACGCGATTCGCGTGGATAGTTTATAGTAATAAAATACAAAAAATGATTTTAGAGAGGCCGGTGTGCTATTGAGTCATTGACACCTTGGATATTGACATACGTATTTACATGTTTCGTTAGAAATTATTATTATTTTTTTATTTTTATTATAAAGATTAACCACAATATAAATTAGATCAACAAATATATCTAAAATGTGTTTGATACAAGGAAAAGAAATATTCCTCTAAAAAAAAAAGGAAAAGAAATATCTTATAAATAAAAAAAATAAAGTAGATTTTAAAAATATTTAATAATTTCTAA